ATCTTGCCGTATATTGGACGTTCGGCCCATCCTTGGTCGTGAATTCCGCATATTGACCACATGCATCCTGTAAAAGTAATACTTCATTAGTTGCTAAATATAAAGGTCCTGCTAACTATTTAATCACCCGCATACCTGTGTAGCCGTTGGGGTCCCTTCCATCTAGACTATATTTATCGTTGAGGCGAATAGCTAGGGCTAATGCTTCTTCTGGGCCCTCAGCTGTCCATTCCAGTATTTTCTTTGCCCAATACATTCGCAGGAATCCATGCATCTTGCCTTCTCTAACCATCTGTAGCTGGGCAGAATTCCACAAATGATCACCAGTCTGAGCAAATTCTATCTGTTTGGACGAGTAGGCAGGGTTTCTAACGTCCTTCGCGTGAAGCCTCAGAGTTTCTTTGGCCCAACTGTGCGCACCTATTGGTTTTAAAAAAATAGGCAATTTCATATTATTTGGTTTACGTCTGACAGGGCAAAAAAATCGTCGCGCTTTAGGCGAGAGTTGTGAGCATGTGTTATGGATCCTACAGATCAGATTATGCCGTAGGTTTTTGCAAATGCTCGAATTATTTCTGTTTAATTTGGCGCAAGCATGGGTCGAGATATAAGTCACTTTCCTAAATGACCAGGAAATGGTGAGTCTATGATGAAAATGTCTAGACACGTAATACCATAAGGCCAGGAAGCAAATTTAAAAAAATTCTGCGTTTACCACATGAGTTTTGTTTCTATTTTTAAATGCCTCGGGAATTGCCGGACGCACCTAGTCTCGCTGGTCCAATTATGTAGCCAGAAATGCAAGAAGACACGAGCATTATCCAAGTCAAGTTGTTAAGGCTTTGGCGTAAATATCACAACATTTAGCGATTAATTATTGTATATGAATGGTTTAGCGCAACTAGTCTAGGGAAGAAAATACATCTATATAACACTTAGTCAATGCCAAGGCCGATGCGCCAATTGCCGTCCAAAGGGTGTTAGCAAAAAATGTGTAAATGGTATCAAACAGGAGTTCCAGCAACGCAAGGTGGGAAACTTACTTCTTGGTGCAATAATTACGGAGGGTCTAATTTCACCAATCACAGTGGAGACTAAAGGCGCAAATTATCGGCCTTTTTCACGAACGATGTTTCGGGGCTCACATTTAGTTTGTTTTGTCTGTACGAAGAGGGCTGAAGAGAAAGACCTAAAAGCTTTATTGGAGTAAAGTTAATTACGCTAGGGTTTAGAGAGCATTTAAAGGAATTTATGATCATAAGTTAGAAGGAAAAAATGATGAGGTTGATAGAAGCTAGGCTTAAAGTAACTTGTGAATGCGTCTTAGAGGTAATTCTGTAGCTTGGCCACAGTTTAAACCGTAGGAGTACATACTTCTAATAGAAGCTGACTAAAAAGAGATCCGGAAACTATTATTTACGAAATAGTTTAACTAACAAAGGTCTTATGCCAAAATCCTACCTGTATCACAATATTATCGCAATATTGGTTATGTAGCGAGGCGGTAAGTTCGTTCAAAAGCGCATTTGGCGTTACCTAATAAGTAACGCGATGATGACGGGCATGGAAGGGGCAGCTAGTTATAAATATAATTAGTTATGTAGAAAAATTATGCTGATGGAGATGGAAACTACAAGAATATAACTAGTGGGCTTACGGAAGCCATTAGGCCCACACTCTGGGGTTGTCTACAATATGGCAAGGAATGAGAAGCTGAAAAATTGCAAAAGAAAGGCATTCCTTTGGTCCTCTAAGTGCTTGTAGTAACCCCAAATTAAATAAAATAAGGAGTCCCATTTAGAGTAAATATTAGTTAAAAGACATCACTATTAATTTATCACAGATTAAAACAAAGTAGGAGAGATGGAAGTCACCGTAACAAAGAGCCAGTGTCTTGCAGATGTGAATCGTGGGGATCGGGAATTGGTGCGAGTGCATAATTTTTATTTGAGAGTACCTACCTACTAGCGTTCCTTTGTAATTATTTAGAAATATTCTACTCGATGGTAGCGTCATGTCAGCTAACGAAAAAGATAAGTTAATTAATGATGGAATGGAGTATTAAAAATATATACGGTGACAATAACACTGTATAATGCCGTATTTAGAGAATTTTTGGAACCTCTACACAGATCGTTACGTCTGTAAGGTGAACCTAGTAATCGATACATAAGAGGTTATCCGAAAACAAAACGGCTTGTAAGGTTTCGTAAGTCCAACATCCTAAATGGCTATAAATGTGATTAATACAGGACAGCGGATAGATTATTCTAAAGAGAAACCATTGGCACAATAAAGAGGTCCTTTAAGCTAGCGTTAGATTAGTGGGTATATAGTATATTACATCCCGCACGACTCATGGACTTAAGGTACGTGGTACGGAACGTGATTAAGTGGATAAACATTGCACCATCAAAATGGCAAAAAGCTACCTCTATTTTCTAAATGCTCGTAGGGAAATAATAATATATATACGAAGAAAATGCGGGTTTCGACGAATCTACTGTTTGTGAAAACTTTCATTTTGTATCGAGATACATGAAGAGATTCGTAGGTCAATCTCACCAGAAGACGCCGGCTGATTCGCAGTGTACTGCAGCCGCTTGGCAGTAATACGAATTTCAGATAGATGCAGTCCACGGGATATCCATCAACGTTTAGGGCGAAGACG